TTCAAAAATTTGTTAAAACCGATCCCAATTAGGTAGTAGTAATTATTGCACCGCTGGTATTCTCAGTCGTCATTCCCGCAGCGTAGATGTAATTCTTCCCAAAAATCAGGCTGCAACTCAGGCAATACAATAAACTGTACGTAGCCTGCATGCAAGGGGCCTGCATGTTCATCCCACCGCATGCGCGCAATTCCTTCTAGAAATCAGGTTGAAAACTTAGGCAGTATTTAATATAAACTTAGTTGCTCTCTGGCTTGCTGATTTGTTTTAGTCCTTATCTCAGTTTAATTAACAGGAAGACCAAAATATTTCTTCTTCAATCGTCAAGACTGCTTTGCAATCTGAAAGATGGAAAAGCGGTCTATATAGTTATTGAATTGAAAACAGCATTTTCCGCCATTTTGCTGCCTTTCAGAAAGACGGACAATATAAATTGCTTCTTATGCGCCATTTTGAAAAATTATGTCTTCAATTCAATGTGGTGCCGGTTTGAACAGCTGCAGTCTGCTCGTAACTGTGTTCGCACTGCCTGTTACCATGCAGCTTGTTGACAAGCACGCTAGAAGCCTGTTCCAAACACATCTTGCTGACAATTCGTCACCTTTTTACGTGTGTATGTGCAACTGGCTTATAATGCATATTGGAATTGCAGACTTTACGGAAATTTACATACAACATATCACATGTGAAATTTTATGTGGAATTGAAAGATCTCAGATGTGAAAATGCCTATTGTATATGTGAAATTTAGAATTTTCACACATGAAATTTGAGTTTCATGTGAATAGGCATTTTCATAGTGAAATAATATGTGAAACTGATAAGGGCATTAAAACGCTCTCCCAAATTTGCTGGCTATAAAAATACACATATACATATTTGCAATGGATTAAATTTTCCGCCTCAATTTCAAGCTATTGTTTCGGGCTCACTCAAGCAAATTCGGGAAGTGCCTATTAAAATTAAAAGACATTTTCCATGTTTGCACAGACTAAATGCAAATGAAATGTTGGTTGGGGGAAATTGGGAACGGATCAGCACAAATTTTCACCTGCTCGATAATACAATATAGAGCGTTTGCACTGACATCACAGCCGCCATGTTTGCATGTGTTTCAATTCAAAAGAATTTTAATTAGCCTCTTTTGTCTGGCCGCCATGGCTTTTGTTGAGTTGGTCCCATGCAGGGGAATGAGTGCAAAAGCTCTATACAGTAAAACCCTACTGTTTCCGCCTGAATGTCTAATAAATAAGGGTTATATATGGTGGTAATTTATTCTGACATTAAATGGGACTACTACTTTTCTGAATAATTATTTAACACAGTTAGATTTACATCCAAACTTTCATTCCAGTTATCCAGTATATTAAAGCGTCATTATGTTAAGGCCTATGTATTCTACCATATTAAAGCGTTTTTATAAAGGCCTATTCTGGTATATTATTAAAGCGGTATTATATAAAGGCCTCCATTCTAATAATAAATATTGTTATTAAATAAATGGTTACCAAACGAGTTAAAACAGATCTTGTAGGAATAAAAATTAAAGCTTCGAAAAAGTTAACATTCCGAGAATACAGAACATGCAGTTATATGCATAAACATTAAAGAACATGCAGTTAAACATTAAAGAACATGCAGTTATATGCATACGGTATGGTTACAATTTTATTTCGTAAAGTGAATAACCACGTTTCAAACATTTTAATTAACTGTTGTTCATGAATAAAATCAATGAATCTAAATATGTCTTCATGTGTATTGTGCCTTGTTCCAATCAAACAATAACGGAATTTTGTAATTTATGACCTTCCAATTACTTTTAAACACGTAGCTAACACAAAATTTGTTACAGGCTTGCAGAAAACGTTTTTTCCAAATATTTTTCTCCAAAAAGTAAAAAATCAACTCTGAGTGAACCGCAACCGATATTCGAATTTGGGCTGTTTCCGGAAAAACCAGCTATATACAAAACCCTTGTTGAACAACACACTGATCACTGATGAATAATATGACGTTCGTACATCAATTTAAAATTATAGAAAAGCGCAATTCACATGTTTTTCAAAATTTCAAAAAAGGCAGGTTTTATGGAAGGAGTACAATTTTCCTGTCATTCTGAATGCCCTTCATAAGTATGATAGCGGCATTTTTTGTAACTACTCTCAGATCTAAATTTCCATCCGTCAAAACCTTGACTATTCATATACAACTACATCATGGAAGAAACGAAGAAGAAAGGCACTGTCCTGTCGTTCATTCAACCGATAGAGGCCAGTATAACAAACGACTACCTACATTGGATTATAATCATGCACATATTCATACCTTGAATGGTTGTGGAGGCCTGGGTTGACGGTTGACTCGACGATGAAACTGCTGCAAGAAAAATTATAGATGGATTAGTTTTGTTATATACTGTCTTCAAGGCGAGACTTTTTTTATTCATTGGTTTACGGATCCGCCGACCGTAAATATTCAGAAAGTGAAAAATAAAAAAATAAATTTGGATGTCAAAAACTTTACAATTTTAGTTTATTTTAATTGGTGTTCTGACATGAAGTACACGTCAAGTAAACTTTGACTCTAAGTACTGCTGGCTCATGTTATCGTTGTGACAATCAATATGGAGATTATCCACGTTTTTTGCGTGTTTTGAAATTAACGTTAAATTTTTTTATAAAGATTATTAAATTTGGTTCTCATTTATACTCAGTGTGTTTTTTTTTTTTAATTTTTTCCGACCTACGGACCTGTTATTTTTAAAGTCAAATCCGTAAACCAATAAATAAAAAAAGTCTCGCCCAACTTGTTTTATGCGAATTTGGGCATGACAGTAATTTGGAGACGGCTGATAAAAACTCGAAAAACAGAAGCAACTATAAATCCATCGCATTTATTGAACCATGACAAAAATGTGCTAATAATGAAAATTTGATAAATTCCTGTAAAATTGGTACTCTACTGTTGAATGCACCAATCACTTTTGGTTTTGGTGCAATTGAATAATCATAAGGAGGCAGGAAATGACCAATAATAATTAAACACACGAAGTTGTGGATAATTGGTCACACGTCTCAAATGAATTGGTTCGTTGGAGCAAATGAATTGGTACTGAATATTTTAGGAACACTACCATTACCACGACCTAGAATTAATTAATTAATTTTTACACTTTGATGCTATCCAAACGGACCAAATTAACAGATCTTTATTTAATTAATACTTTATAATCTGAACAGCCACGTTGCCAGGGATTACGTAAACGCAGGCAGCCAAGAAGCCTAGGGAACGAGGATATAATCTGATCAATTACCTCGATATGTAATTTTTGCACCTTCTTGATAGTTCGCCATATTTTTAATTAAGATCAGTGAGCTGACCACCCATACACACATGAACCATTGTCATGCGCCCGCGTTCATCGATAAACTTTTCAACCTGCTTGCTTTTTTCCCCGGGTGTACATAGCCGAGCGGAGTTAGTACCCTCCCCCCAGAGGTAGTACCTCGAAGTTTGTACCCTCATCCCGGCGTGTGCGCCGTTGACTCGGGGATTGTATATGAATATACACCCTGAATGTGTATGAATACTCTGGCTACAGAGGTTTTCTGCTGGGTACAGAGGTTTCCGGCTACTTCAGGGAAACAGGAAATCCCTTGTATTATATTACGGATTTTGCATTAAATTGGGCAATTTCGGTTTATTCCTGTCTTATTAATTGTCATTTTCGCATCATAACAATCATAAGTTATGTCAAAAATGATGGCCTTGAACGAAGGTCTATAGCACGCAGCTAGCAGTATCGTGTAACACTGCATGACTTTTAATTTTTATTTCGCATGATCTTCACAGAAAGACAAGGCGTGTCTTTTTGCACGTGTACCGTATGGTAATGCAGCCTTGCAGGCTTTGCGATTTCATCGATGCTGCCGCTACCGCGCTGGGCTCTCGATACCTCACAATTATTTTTATTACATTCATCACAAATGTTTACAATGACACTGATATACATAAAATGTTATAAGATAACGTACAGGACTGCGATAAGGAACAGGACTCGGATGAGGAACAGGACTTTCGTCCCAATTGTCCTTACGTCGCGTCAATGTCAAACAATGAATATTTGACCCACATGTATCCCACATTGCATTGCGTATACCTAATGTTTAGATTGTTTGAAAATTGCGTGACGTAAGCAGTCTCGAGTCAACTAATACCTGATCACAACAAAGCAGAGTGAAGATTAGCAACATAGTGACACAGGTTGCGTGACGTTCACTTAACATACAATCATTGAGCCTGGTGTCAAAATGTCTGCATGTGATCACAGTGGGAATTATGCATCGGTAAATTTTAAGTTTTGAAGGATTTGTTTTTGAAGGGAACTGACTCATTGGTTAACATTGAGCAAGTTTGCTCAAACATTTCTTACAAATCCTTCAAAATTTAGAGACCTGACAAGGAACGGTTGCGGAAAATGCAACAGTAGGTCCTCTGGCAGGAATCGAACCTGTGGCCCTGCGATTCCAGTGCAGCGCTCTAACCAACTGAGCTACAGAGACCAGTTGTAACTAAACCAGGCTTTAGTTACGCACGTAACGGCATGCGCGTATCCAGAAGGAAACATCGCCATGATTAGCATTATCAGCGCAACCGCAAATATTCCTCCCACGGCACGACCTTCCTGAAGGGAACTGACTCATTGATTAACATTGAGTCAGTTTGCTGAAACATTTCTTACAAATCCTTCAAAACTTAGAGACCTAACCAGGAACGGTTGCGAAAAATGCAACACTTAGGACCTCTGGCAGGAATCGTGGCCCTGCGATTCCGGTGCAGCGCCCTAACCAACTGAGCTACAGAGGCCAGTTGTAACTAAACCAGGCTATAGTTACGCACGTAATGGCATGCGCGTATCCAGAAGGAAACATCGCCATGATTAACATTATCAGCGCAACCGCAAATATTCCACCCACGGCACGACCTTCCAGACTTACCAAACCTCTTTCTACACCATACCCTTGTAGCCGCTTCATTCTCTGCCCATATCCATTGGGCTGTTGATTTGATTTGATTTCTTTCATTCCAAGGTTCTTTCAAATCATGTGTTGTCGCTTTCGTCCATGGAGCACAATCAGCGGCAGTGCACGAACTCATGTCTGCACATTCCCATGAACCATCTGTGACCACCTTATTGCTAAACGATGCAAGTATCCCACCCTTTCCCCTGGCATTATGAGCTTTAATCGTGACATGTTTCGTTTGTCCAGACAATGTAAAATGTTTCACTTTTTTCCAACTGCAAACCACGTTTCTCTTTTCGCCTGAGTCGGTGATTAATCTTCCAGTGTTATCAACAGTTATCTTGACCATGATTCTACTTACAGTCTTACCTTTAAAAATAAAATGAATATTATAAATTCCTTCTATGGCATTTTTGAAACATACACTATATGAAACAAAGAATTTCATTTATCGGCCCTCTGGCAGGAATGGAACCTGTGGCCCTGCGATTTCGGGTGCAGCGCTCTAACCAACAGAGCTGACAGTTGACGAGCTCTAACCACAATTTCATGTATATATACTAAGGTGACGCCAATGTACGGTATACAAGTAAATATCAGGATATGGGGCATCGCACTCGATAGAACTAATTGACAACGTGCATGTTAGACTAATTTTTGATCTAGGCAAAAAAAAGTAAATTCCGTAAAGAACTTTTTAAAATTAGTAAAATTGCAAAATTCGGTTACTAAGTGTTGTAAAATAGGGAAAATATAGCCTTGCGAAGTTTGCATATTTTCAGTATATTTGTATTACGTGCGGAAATTGTTACCATTTTTGAGCCGAAAACGGTAACAATTTCCGCACGTAATACAAACATATACAAAATTTGCAAACTTTGCAAGGATATATTTTCCAAGCTTTACAACATTTCGCAACCAAACTTTGCAATTTCACTAATTTCATTATGTTCTTTTTAGCTGTGGTGTTTGATTCCCTTCTCTTTACTTAGATTAAAATTTAGTCTAACATGCAAGTTGTCCATTATTGAAGAGATTTGTAGTTGGAAATTTCGAGTGGAATTTTTATTCATTTGTTGGACCAAACCAGGATGCTCCCAGCTCCTTGTTGGATATATAGCTCCAAGTATAGGTATGGAACACGAGAAACAAGAAACCCACAGCTGCGAGGTCGAATTCCGAATGGAACCAAACTTTTCCTGTTCTCTACAGTGTGAGAGGGAAAAAATAAATAAAAAATAAAAGTACAGAAAAAAGTAACAATAAGCTAGTACCAGCAACTCTGCCATCTTTTGGAACCTTGCAAATGACATATGCACGTTTATCGCAACATTTTGACGAACGTAACTTAGGTGATTTGTTATCGTCCTCCATTTTTGCCATAACACAAAGCTTTCCACCATTCTGGTTACCATCAACTACGCCCTTGCTTAGGTAACCATCACTAAATCCATATTTCTTTATTTCTTCGATATACACAAGGCCTGCCCAATACCTAACGTCGTCTTGATGATTTGTAATATTGCTTTGGAAATCATGCAAAATTCCATTGAGTTTTGAACAATACTCTTGTGCTTGTGGCTGAGTGAGCATTTTCTTCTCTCTAACATACATATGACCTAAAAAGGTATACATAATGCACTGTGGGACACATGTGGATCAAATATTCGTTGTTTCACAGTGACATGACGCAAGTACTTCTAATGTCAATTGCCCCTTTCACGGTTGGCATCCTGTGAGGGGTCGATATGGTGGATTTGGGGGCGGATTCATATGTATACTCATATATGTTGTTTACAATGATCTTGATTAAAGTATAGAAAATTTTTTAAAAAATTTAAGATGCATTGAAGAATAAAACAGGTTCGAATATCACGCTTATTATGTAGCGAACCTAATTAACATTATTGTTTCCAAAACCCTATAAACTGAATATAGAGCAATCGTTTGAATTCAGGCAATTAATTTTGAAGCCAGGATATTTATCATGAGGAGAGACTTTAAAATCTGTCGTATTCCTTACGAATCAAGTCGTTACGTGTTTAACTCATTATACCATCAAGCAAATAACTTGACAACTTGTTACGGGAGACATTTCAAGCTCTAGATTAACAAAATAAAGGATTTCGCGAGTGTTCCAACTATATTTTTACTTAAATAGAATACATGATAGTATTGGGAAAGCATTAAGAACAGCTAACCAAGGTCGCGTGGCTGTCAACTCTCATGCCTCGTTTGATGCGAGGCATACCAAAATGTGTCTAAAATCGTCTACTAAGTGAGTAATATTAAAACACAAAAAAAGTAAACCGTATACTCACCATGCGAATGTTGTCCAAAACAAACTTCTGTTGTGAAGATAATAAGAAACCAACACAGCATGTTCATCCTTTAAACGATATTTGTAACTTTCCGTATGATGCTGTTCACCGTTGTACACTTGATGAAGTTTTTGACGTATGTGCCATTCATTATTTATTCATAATAATGCTTTAAAACTTTAACAAAATAGCATGTGCATTTTAAATAGTCATAAAAACCTGCTAACAGTACCTGCTTGGATCATAAATACAAAACCTTTGCGCACGCAATTTAAATAGAGAGAAAATAGTCACAAATTGCGAGGCTTTACTACTTCCATAGCATATACATTAATATTAAAAAGAGAATCCTTTGTATATTACGTAACACGCGCTCAAAAGTAATGAAATACTTTTCCACTTGGTTATGACTATATATATTCATTTTTTAAAATTCTTAATTGATACGTTTCTCAAGCACTAAACAAACTTTCAAAGTACGTTTAGCGCTTTATCTGTAAAATAATGCTAAACTGATAAAGAGGTTTTAGATAACAAGCCAAAGAGAAAATGTTGCCTGAAGTTCAGTATGCATTATGTTAATGTGTTGTGGCAATTAGGTTTCATCTTTCGTAACAAGCTATATTTAAGGTTCTTATGTAAGTCTTAACATGATAACCAAATTAAGTAAGTAATCTACAAGCGTTTATTAAATGCAAACAGAAGGAGATGGTAGGAACGGTTAGGATAAACACAGTTAGGAAAATAATAGCACAATTGTTGTAAATATAAATAGTCTAAACTAAGTAACATAAGTAAGTGTAATACTGGATATAGTCGGTCACTGAAAAGCCCCAATGGGGAGTGAGCTGAATAATGTCATTTAATGTAATAAACAAACTTAGAGAACTGAGACGAGGGTTCAACAGTACACCATCTGAACGCTGATTGGTTCATTCAACATCATACCACATTTTCAGTCACATGTATATTCTATAAATTCCCCTCTACGGTGAGCTGATAAAAGGAGTTACCAGCCCAACTCTAGTGAATGGACATTGACCGAGTAAAACGCTACAGAAACTCAAACAATACAAGACTGGTCAACCAGCTGACAAACAAGAACACACGAAGAAGCAGAACAGAACATTATTACAACATTATCAAACATTAGTATGTATAATCTTATGTTGTAACGATTCCGTTCCTCGCGTAAATAAAACAGAATCATAACACTTTTATCATCAAAGAGAAAAGAGAAATGTTATTGCGGACAACAATTCATCATTTAAAGCAATCTGGTTTGTGATGTGGACACTCGATCAATCCGTTCACCGGCCTTTATACAGGGTGTATAAAAAAAAATTGAACAGATTTGAAATTGCTCTTAATTTCGCAAAACAGCTATAATAGAGTATCCAGTTTTTTATATGTATAGCTTCTTTGGGTACTTATAATGTAAAATAATGAAAAAAATTTCTCGAACTCAAATTTTGTGAACCAGGGGGGTGTGTCTTTTCCAACAAACTAAAAATGACTTGCGCACGAAATTTAAAAGCTTTAATCATATTTTGAATTACAAGATGGAAAATTTGTTGGGTTTTTAATTACTGTACAAAATTTCAGACAATTTGCTTTAGTTTAAGCCCTTGAACTATTCACGCAAACTTGCATTTTTTCCTAAAAAAAATCAGCTATTTGCATGCTAATTAATGCCTTTGCCTAATTTGCATATGTCAACAATATGCAAATTAGGTAAAGGCATTAATTAAACATGCGAAAGGCTGATTTTTTAGGAAAAATGAATAGTTAAAGGGACTTAAACTACAGCAAATTGTCTGAAATTTTGTACAGTAATTAAAAACCCAACCAATTTTCCATCTATTAACTCAGAATATGATTAAAGCTTTTAAATTTCGTGCGCAAGCCATTTTTAGTCTGTTGGAAAAGACACCCTCCCCCCCTGGTTTACAAAATTTGAGTTCGAGAAATTTTTTTCATTATTCTACATTATAAGTACCCAAAGATACTATATACATCGAAAATTGGATACTAATGGCTGTTTTGCGAAACTTAGAGCAAATTCTGTTCAGTTTTTTTTATACACCCTGCCATATAGTCTTTTCGATATACAGCTATTTCAATTAAGGTTGTCCACGAGCAAAGCGGAAAAGTCGAATACGAGCGCGAAAGGCTGCTGGGAACCGCTTTGAAAATTCATTAATCTGTTAACGATTCCCAGCAGCCTTTCGCGCTCGTATTCGACTTTTCCGCTTTGCTCGTGGACAACCTTAATTGAAATAGCTGTATGCCCCTTTCTCGTATTTTCTGATGTGAAATAAGGGTATTTTATTTATTTTTCAAACATCATTATCATAAGCTTATTGGCAAATCATGTCAACCATAATATGTCACGTGCAGGGCTTATAAAACACTCCTAATTAGTATTCTTTATATAAAGAATACTAATGAGATATCTATTGAATTTGTTTTTTTTGTTTTGTTTTTTTTAAATTTTTTTTTCTATTTTATTTATTTATTGAATTTTTGTCGTGTTTGAAGTCGTTTAATAAACTCGCAGGTCGTGTTTTATTAGGTCTAAAGCCACACGCGCTGCGCGTTCGTGACTTTAAACCTAATGAAACACTCCTGATCGTTTATTAAACAGTACATAAATATATACATGCATTACGCGAGTGTGCTTTGGCACACGAAATTCCAGAGAGTATTGGTAAAGAACGTGCAGGGGCTTGCCGGGCAGTTGCAGTTTTGATCCAGGCAATATAATTAACATAGCCACGATAAAAGAAGGGACCTTAAAGATTTCAGAAGCAAGTTATATGTTCTCTCCTTCGAAAACTCACACGCATGCATTTAAAATTGCAGACACTAGTGAACTTGATATTTAACCAAAAAACACGGCATCCGTTTTCACAATAAAAACAAAGCATATTCTGAAAAATATCTTGAAATAAGAGAAGACGAAAGAAAAATAAGTAAATTGTGATATTTCCGTGTTTTGTGAACACAGGTGGTTCCATACGGAATTATTTTATCGGCATGCATGCACTGATGTACTTCTTCAAAATATTTTGTCGCGCATGCATGATAATCAACGACAAATTTGATTACCTTTTTTGATCTGGCAAATAAAATATGTACTTGTGCTGCAACGCTTCCACACAGAGCCACGCGATATTTTTCCAATAAGAAAGCAGCAATCATCGCAGTTCTGGCTCGGCTTACATTTTTCTTCGGCATAATCAGTGGATGTTCCATCACTGAATTCAAAATTCAACGTTCCCTTCAGGCCTGTCCAGTAATAGTTGGCCTGGTTTGGCTCTCTTTCTATTAACTTCGTAAGATGTGTCCAGTCATCTTCGTTTTGGAAACTACACAATGTACCATTTTCGTATTTTTCTGAACAATATTCTTGTGCCCCACCTCGATTAAGTCGTTTCCTGATAAAAATGTACTTGGAGACATCTAAAAGGGTTTCAACAAACATTAATAATTCACGATTAAAATTATTCATGAAACCAGTTGTTATATCCACATGTGCAGAATTTTTCTAATTTGCATAAATCTTTTTTCTGGATTTCTTTAATCACAATTAAGGCCATGTTACACGGTGCAATTTTTCTTGCAACTTGCATCTCAATTCTACTCTTGAGAGATGTAAAATTGCCAAATACGAGTCTTCATTACACTCCGCTGATATTTTCTCAACATATCGAAAATTCTTCATTGATTTCACTAATTAACATCTCTCAAGAGTAGAATTGCATTGCAAGTTGCAAGAAAAATTGCACGTGTAACATGGTCTTTAAGGCCCGTTTACACGGGCGATTTTTGCTGCGATTTTAGTTGCGATTTTCTCCTTTTGGAGGATGTGAAGGAGTAGATGAGTTATAAATGTTCCAGGTTGTGAAATCTTATAACAACATCTTAAGTAATCTACTCATTCACATCCTCCAAAAGGAGAAAATCGCAACTAAAATCGCAGCAAAAATCGCCCGTGTAAACGGGCCTTTAAGATCGTTCAGTTTCAAGAGTAGTATATTCATTAGTATATGCAGCGTGCCGATTAAAGATTAATCGGCACGAATACGAGCCCTAAACACTGAGCCGTGCACTAAACACAAAATGTCAAAATCTAAACTTGAAAATTTGCATTTACTGAACTCTTATTTTGCAACGAGCTCTTATAAGTATGCATTTTTAAATATTAAAGAAAAACAAGAAATAAAGAATATTCACGGTTTTTCACAGGTACATATGAACTAGGCTTAATTCATCAAACACGCGTGGTCATTCCCTATCCCTTACTTATTTAGGGGAGAAATTACGAGTGTGCATGCATATGTATAATGTATATGCATGATTGCTTGTGTTCTGATTGTTTGAGGGCCAACAGCTATAATTATGGATAATATGCGGCAATCTGTATATAAATGTGTTATCTGCATGCTGTCACTACTCCCCGTCATTCCACGCGCATTTACTTGGCTTTCTAAAAGCTTAAGGAGGCTCTGCGGAGAATAGGGTTATCTTCGTACGGATTCTACAGTACGTAAATTTATAACTCGCGGTATTTTTATACAAGACACATATAATACGATACTTTACCGTATGTTTTACTGCACCCGATGCTACAGGTTTCACGATATACCAGCAAGACAGTTTTTTATTAAACAAGATTTCATGCATCAAATAACCATTTTCTTCATAAATGTGGGCTTTGGTTTTGTTCTTTCCATCAAGGCGACAGTTATCATAGTACGGCTGACTGACTTCACATTCCCATGATCCTTCAGTGACAGCACCATTTGTAGGCTTAATAGTTATGTTCAGTTTAGAATTGCTACAAGTATATCTCGCATTCCAAGAGTTTAGTCCCCATCCTTTATTCCATATGTTGCCACCTGGTTCTTCAATATTACCCCCTGTCGCGACCAGTTTCACAATATAGTTACTGATGGTTATGTTAAAATATCTAATATCAACTATCACAGAGAAAAAGAGAAAATATAGAAATTTAAAAATTTATTAATTTAAAAATTAATTTATTAATTTTAAAACTATAATAAAAATCTTGTGTCCATATCATTGGTCATGCAGACGCTCTTGGAGTCTTATCGTATATCTTACGATCAAAGAGCCCCTGTAGAACCACTTGCTAATGCTTCCGCACTTTGCATCATTAAGTTCTGCCCGAATGCACACAAAACAAGAGAAAACACCACGGTTGAAGTAGGAAACACGCGCTTTCCCCCTTGAAGTTGGTTTTCCACTACAAACCGGAATCGTATCGAAACGCATTTCTCTGTTTCCTGACCAATACAGGGTAATTGGACTAATCACTTTGAGACAAAAAATTATACGGTAGCTAAGTTGCGATAGAGTGATGAGACAAATTTGGCTAACGTTTGCATGTTCATCCCATGCACACCTTTGGATAATTCAGCATGTCAAGGAACTATTGTGCATTGCACTGAATCATAGATGAGAAAACAATTGACCAAAATTAATATAACGTTAATGCTTCGTTTAAGGACGAGGTAATTTTTGCTGTAGCTTAATTATTGCAACGCAGTTTCTGACAGAGTAATGCTATCTAAATTACAAAGCGGTCGCAGGAAAATTGTGAGGACTTTGCGGATCTGCACTCGTTGATAACTAATTGTATAGAAGGGTTTCAATTTGTAGATGGAAATTTTTTTCCCAGAATTAAGCAGTTGCAAAAAATGCAGAACTATAGGGTCTATATAATTATAGCTCTGGCATAGGAATTTAACCGGCATTGCATGAGCATGGCCCAAGGTTTATTCTATACCGAGTGACATTTTTCATTCCATTTCTTTAGTATATTTCATCCTTAAGAGTATGTTATGCAAACAAAGTGTTGGCAAGTAGAATGTGGGCCATGATGCTGACATTTCCTTGCGACTATAATCGTGAAACAATTTCAGCACGGTTAACCGGGTTGAACTTCAGCCCGGGCTGAAAACTCTCCATGTATAATCAGCCCCTAGAACGACTTGAATTTAGAAACTTTTCTGGGAAGCTGCCTTAAAGCGGCATGTTTGAAGTAGGCCTACATGCGATATACGTTTGAAGTACAAAATGCTTGTCTTATGCCTTGGCGCTCATTTTCCACTTTCATAGGGTATTTCCTTGTTTCTCGTGCACTATACAAGGCAGAATTAATCAACACAACAAATTTAAGAATTTTATACGGTAGCTAGGTTACGTTGGAAAACATACACAAGCTCTATAACGGAGCACTTTGTTTTTATCCTACAAAATCTATAGTCTATATATATTCCTTTGCGTCGGTATCGACCAAACGAGAAAACAAAAAAACGATAAACTTTTCTACTCACCATCCTTCTGTCCAAAGCAAACTCCACTGCAGACGATGATCAAGACAGTCCAGAAAAACATTTTCTTCAAATGTGTAATGTCTGTGCTACTCTTTGAACTGATGCGCGGTTATATATATATATATATTAATTGTAATGATGAGAACGCGAACAAAATGGCAAACGCACTTGGAAATGTTTAGCAGATACAAGAACTTTATGAAGGTTGTGTCATGCAATAAGGCGCTATATAATGCGAAGGTGCTGTTTACAAAACATATATATATATATATATAAATAGACGTTAAATAGAAATAATATGAGACGCGATCGATTATAGGATGGAAAATATGCCGACAAGCTGGTATATTTTACACAATTTGAAAATTTTAAGGATTTGAAAATTTTTCTTCTTTTTCCTATAAAGTCTGACCAAAGGTGAAATTGCTGCTTTTGCAAATTTTATTTTGATACAAGTCTTCCCAATATGAATGTTTGAATATTTAATAATATGGATATGCCCTTCGAAACCAAGTCTTAGTGGAAAAACTGAAATTCACATTTTGAGAAAAAGTAAAATCCTACACCTTGAAATTGTAAACGAAAACTGAGTCGAAATGTCATTGTATAGTCAAAAAATTCTTAAAATGGCCATTCTGTTCAAAATTTTTTAACGGCGCAAAACAGTCAATTAGTAGCCTAAGTGGTAAATATTGCACCGCCAGTACAATTAAGCTCTGTAGTTAATTAAAAAACATTGATATCATCATAAATAATGCCTGCACTGCCCGGATATCCTTCCCAAAAATCAGGTTGAAACTTAGGCAGTATTATAAATATGTTTGAGTTTCAACAGCAGTATATTCAACCTCATTATATACTTTGAGCCCATAACTATTAATGGTAAAAATGTTGAGGTTGTAACATCCACAAAATTACTGGGCCTTACCATCTCTAATGATCTCAAATGGAACACTCATATTTCGAATACTTGTGAAAAGGTATCAACACGGCTATATTTTCTAAGACAATTAAAACGTGCCAAATTGCCACCCAACGATCTGGTCCTGTTTTATATCACCTGTATTCGTCCAGTTGTCGAGTACGCGTGCGAAGTATTCCATAACTCGCTGCCGCAGTACCT